TTCGTTCATTTTCCACTAATGAAAAATATTCATTTATATATTAAAAGACGCAGAATTTCAAGCTCTACAAAACTATCCACTGTGTTGTTCAACTAAGTTTTCCTTCTTGGCATCTAATTGGCAAGATTGGTATCTACTCAGCTCATTCAACTGCGATTTGTTTTTTCTGCTGACATTTATCGATTAGAGCAAGCTTTTAGGTCGAAGCTAAAAGTAAAGTATTTAATATCAATAGATAGAGAATTTCGTGCTCTATCCTTCCATTACCCTTTCAAGGATCTTAGCATTACTTCTCAGAAGAAAAATATACGAAAATAATACCAATAGTCATTTTTGGCGTGCACATGGGAAAAACATGTTGTAAAAATCTAGATATCCTCTATGAAAGACTTAGGACCGTGTCATCAAATGTAGAATTCAGCTCAGAACAAAATCGTGTAACTGTTACATTGAAGAGTGAAAACATTTAGGTTATTTCGAATAAAATAAAAGAATTATGGCCTAGATTTATTAGAAAATCTATTTTTCGTTGTTTTAACATTTTCTTCCTGCGAAACTATTTCCCTCAAACATTTCCTCTAAAATTCTGAAACTTGGCAACCAAACGAGCAGAATTTTCTGAAAAATTTTGTGGCATAATTTAAAATTCACTTAAGTTATTATTTGAAAATTTTCATAATTGTTTTTCGTTTATTTTTAAAATCGTAGTTCAATGATTGAGTAGATGTCAATATTTCCAATTGGACGCCAACAAAGAAAATTTATTGGAAAAAAAGTAGATAGGTTTGTACAGTTTGAAATTCTGTATCTTTTAATATATAAATGAGTATTTTTCATGAACAGAAAATGAACGAAAAAAAGTAAAAACATTTAGTGCAATTTATTATGGCCGACCCATTAGCACCAGCTGTACAGAGAAATATTGAACAGCGGAGTTTCAAAGTGAAATTTGCTCATATATAGCTCTTATGGCCATTAGAAAACTTTAAAAGCTTCAGTGGAAAAAAGTTTCCTTCTGGACATATTCAATTTTTATAATTTGTCTTATAATCTATAAAGTCCTGAAAGATTGACTTTTTTCAAAAACTGAATACCTCCAAAAGGAAACATTTTTTCTGCTGAAAATTTGAGTGTTCTAATGACCATAACAGTTACATCTGAGAAAATTTTCAGATTGAAATTCCGTTGTTCAATTTTTCCCGATATGCCGTGTGCTACGTCAAAAGATCAGTAAAATGGTCATAACCTTTGAAGGAAGTCCCATTAGCCGAAACCTTCTAAGTTCTTTTATTAAAATATTGTCCCCGACATATGGACAACATATCATTGAAAATGACGTGATCAGTTGGGAACTTTTCCTCGTTAGTTGTCTGACTTTTATCTGCAAAGCTGTGTTTTCCTCTGAAAGAAATGAAAAAATATAACGACCTATAAGACTTGAAGGAATGAAAATTTGTACTTAATCCTAAAGATATACCCGCATTAGTCTAAAATACTTTGATTACCCAAGTCAATTAAACACGCTTGTAAACGAATATAAGTTAGCGAATTTTAGCGTATTTCATGGCTTCGCGTTACGATCGTATTTCTTCGTATACAATACGGAGAAATACGGAGTGTATACGAATTTCCTGTCTTTTGTCGTGGGTAAGAATACTGCTTTTAGGCGAATACATTGAAAAAAATATCTGTCGGACCCTTTGCATATTCAATACTTAGAGACTTATCACTAAAATTGGTGGAAGAACGAACATGCGAGCATATCAACAGTAAAATAATGAGACCATATGATTCCTTGTTTTCTCGTGGATGCTATCGTATCAGCGCAAGCGAAGACAAACCGACGAGTAATTTATTCATCTGTGTCATCATCTTTCTCTTTACAAATCTCAGCAGTATCAGAGCATCGAACTATTATTCTTATCAAGTAATTGTTTCGTTCGATCATCATTTTTACCTAGCTTCTACAGCTTCTCTTTCGCATTTTCGAACACACAAATATGTTTTTTTTCGTTAGTTCGAGTATTCTGCAGCGTTTCCTATCAGAAGTCTACTAGCCAGTGAAGTTTCACTAACAATAGTGATATAAGATTCTCTTCCTTACAAAAGATTATACAAATAACTGAATTCTTCTAAGTAGAACTTTTCAACATTTCGCACGATCGGAATCAAAATGAACTAGTTACAGCTTTAAGCTCGTCGTTCCATCAAAATGGGGACGAAAGTTAGAAAATAGCAAAGACCGCCGTAATAATGTAAACATCGTGTTTTTCAAAGGGATCACATTACAGTTTTTTCAAATCGTATTTTAAGTGTGGGTGCTTGGGTAATTGATAAAGGTGGTATGGCTTGTCTCTTCATCCTCACTCAAACATTCATACACAGCCAATCACCATCGATAGTTTGATTCAAGCAAGTCTGAGTACAGCGTGGAATAGAACAACCAAACTTGACAATGTCAGAATGGAAGCTTTCGCAGCAACCATAGTTTTGCGAGTCTAAAAATATGTATCCTCTAACGTGAATTTTGAAGAATCGATGCACTTCGTAGCGTAAGGGGTTCCTCCACTCGATGGTGGATTCTCTTTTAATTATTTTTCATTATTAACACCATTTTATCTGAGGTGTTGTGGAAAGGACTAAATGAGCTTTACGAGACTATTTATATTGATCTCTTTACCTCATTGACTATCAAAACCTTCCAGAAAGTAGGATATATATATTTTCTTTACTGGCATCCACACCCGTACATCCTCACCGACTCAACTATAGCCGGACTCCCTTTTGGAGCACACATAGTATTCGAGAAAAGTCTCTTTCTTTGGAATATTCGGCTTATTTTGTGGACTTATATGACTGAAACCCTTCGGCCAGAAGTTGAAAGTATGTTGAAGAAACGTGATAAAAACAATGACGCTCAATTGGCATTTACTGATGTGGCAAAGGTATCAATGTAATATCCGAAGTGGCCTCTAGAATTGGAAGAGTTTGCTCTTCCTACTTTGTTTCATGATGCTGAAGCTTCTGCGAAAAAATCACCAGAGCCAATGTGGTTACAATAGGAAGATGATGCTATTCAAAGGTTTATGACGATAAACGAAGCACTATTAGTTGCTGTTAATATTCATATAGACGTAGCCTCATTAAAACTTGGCTTATGCCATATTTTTGATGGAAGTCGATCAGCACATGGAAGCGCTGGACACAGATAAATTTCAAAAAATTGGTGTCATAAATTGTGTGCAATTATTCAATTTTTTATGTAAAATAGTGGGAAATGACACAGATAAAAAAGGCAAATACCGCAAAGGAAAATCTCAACCAGTACTAGTAGTTTATGAAATTCCAAATCATCCGCAATGCTATCTTGCCTTTGATCTAACAACGAATCCATCAAGCAGATAAAATGCTGTTGGTATAAGCGGGTATGAAATCTTTACAGCATATGTAACTAATACTAGCAAGTTTCAGAAGAACTATAAACCAGTAGCCTAGAGTTATATTCGATTACTCATTGAGTATCCTATCGTACTTGCTACGTAGCAATATATCTTTTGCTGGATCTCTTCTAAACAATATTATTCACATAATCCTAGTTGTCCACCAATATTTTTCATACAATTGGAATCGTTGTTTTTTTATTCAAACAAAAAGAAGAAAAAAAGATGATTTAGACGTCGTCTTGGAAATTTCAACCAATAATAAAATAATGTTCTGCAATTTTGAGACAATGCTCAAAGTATCAAGACTATCGAATTCAAAGAGAATAAATTTAAATACTTCCTCAACTAAAAGCTTTCATTGTAATCCCTACGATAATAATTAATATGTGAAACGCATTAGTCCTACTTTAATCCATGGTCAAGTATCCTAACTGTGTATATCAGTTTTTTCGGATACCCAATACAAACACATTGTAAACCTCTGAAAACCATCAAGCAGCATGACAAACAGCGGAATACCTATAACACTGATGAAGATGAAGTGGAGATTTCATCTTTCTCATTATATGCTTGGTTGTGGGTGTGTCTATGTGCGTTTAACTCTTCTTTTGCCACATCGAACGAATAAAATACGCTTAATTAGAGTAATAACACATTTCAAACAAACAACTAAAGAGTCTTCTTGTATTTCCATCCGAATGTCATGAACAGTGTCGGAAAGCGTATCACTGCGAGTTTCGTACATAAACCGAAAACTTCTGAATATAGATCAATCAAAACCGATATACTCCATCCGCAAATCGTTTTCTTTTCTCTCTGAATATTGATACGTGGTATGTGAAATTTGATCTGTTGTCTAACCACTTGACAGTTATCCGTTCTACGAGATGACTGTGAAGTTAATATAATATTGCCAACTAAAGGAACAGTGAGAAAGAGAGGAAGACAAGAGCAACATGTTTTATTACAATTGCAAGAATCAGCAGAAAAGAGGATTGTTGACGGCTGTTGCCTACTTTTTTTAATGACATTCGGATGCCAAGCAAAAAGAAACGACGCTTCTCTCTGAACGAAGAAACGCCGTTGTTTTTCTCTTCTAGTTTTTATTATTGAGTTGAAGCAACAGAAGAAAAAACTTTGGCTCGATAAATCATCACGACACAGCCATTGAAGAACAGCGCGATGCACATTCATTACCCACTAGAAACTAGGCTTATGCAAGCAAGCATCGATGATGATGATGATGATGAAGGAAACACCCTCACACATTTGTTGTTTTATCCTACTCACCAAATTGTGGGATTAAAGTCAGACAAATGCACGAGCAACGCCCTGCTCTAACAATCGATGATAGAGAGATCGAGAGTGAAATATCCCATCGCTCTGACATGCAATGATTATAAGCTAATTAGGACAATGGTGAAAAGATATATAAAACTAGCACCAAAATTCCTCATATTGCGCTATCTAACTGAAAGATAATTGAACTTTTACAATGATAGTCACATCTAGATTTGTTTGTTTCAGTGAATGAAAAATGTAAAAACAAATTCTACACTATGTGCTTACATAGTACGTTTTCCCATTTCGAAGTTTCACTCCTTCATTCCAGTTCAATTGCATTCGATCGATGATTGTATCGAACTGTTCAGCAACTTTTTCGTAAGAATTAGCACCCGCTATATGTCCATTTTCCATACGTGTTTGACGAATCGAGTCACTCATGTCACTGCTAGTCGATTGTATCGTATCGACAATATTTCGTGCGAAATGAGCAATGGAACGCTCTTTTCCATCGGCTGTTTGAATAAATACCGAGAGAAGTGGTAGTTCTGACAATGTCTGAAAATGTCCCAAGAAATATTTCACAGCTTGACCTTTAGATCGGTTGATCTTTGCTTCAGTGATGGTCAAATTCGAAGCATCATTCAAAACAGATCGCAACGGTCGCAATATTAGTGTATTGCTAACACGAGGTATCAATTCAGATGTGTAACGAATAGCACAAGCAAGTATTTGTGCTTCATGTATGTGATCGACATCGTAATGACTCAATATTGATTCTCCATTTTTCATGCCTAATTTTGCTTTTGTATACGGGTCCATATTCTGATGTCGATCCATGATGACTCGAATGCGATCTTGATCGGTACGCAGATCATGTTCACGTAGAAATGCTATGAGATCAAAAAGAAGATCCGACGAATCAGTCTTCTCCACATCATTCTTTTTATCTTTGATAATGGGTGGCTGCTTAGCTGCAAATGCAGTATGACTTTTGCTTGAACAATGCTGAGCTAGATTTCGTTGTTGAACCGTCTTACCACAAGCGCATGTTACACGACTTTGTGAATTGACGTCAGCCATAGGTATATACCTTTCAATGTTGCACCACTTTTGACTATGAATGACGAAAAAAAATATTACAGTCGTCCATTTCTTTTTTTTATTTGCAGTTAGGTTTTTTTCTTTCTCTCGTTCTGCTCATGTGCTTTTTTACGAGACTCATGTTGTTGTATTCTGTCGCTTCGTATGCGTTGGATAGAAGCAGACGAAGAGAAAAGTAACAATGAGGTTGGTTAAATCAACAGTCATTGATGTACCAATTGTGAATAACAACTGAAGATCAAGTATAAAACATTTGGTATGAGTACGAATGTTATATGAATGAAGATAATATTGTGCATAGCACTGTCGTTTCGCGTCTTCTATGAAAAGTTTGCATGCATTTACAAAAATTAATGAAATGATAATATTTTCTTCCTCTTTGCTTAAAGAAGTGCATGGATTAATATATCCCTGTAGAAAAACTAACTTGTTTGCTTTAGTAGATGAACAACGCAAAATAGACACAACGAAGACGAAAATAAAGGTTTTACAGCAAGCGAATATCGAACAAAACACTATCAAACACGAGAACCTATCGAAAGCGTCTGAATGCTCCTTTCATGCAAAAGTTGCACCCTATTCAACAAAAAGTAACTAAACAACGTCATGCTATAATAATAATAATAATAATAATAATAATAATAATAAATGCAAGCACTCTATTTGTTCTACGTCATGATGATCACACACGTGATGCTTCAATAAAGTCGAAAGCAACATGGAAACTTTATCTGTAAATGAAAGTATTGTCCACCGGTCGCCACATGGTCCAAGTACAATACTTTCTAACTGTGGAATGTGTATGTCTACTGGCTTAACTCATCCAGTACAGTAGTCAAACATTGACTAACTCGTGTCAACTTGTGACTTGATTACTTTCATACTATACCGTGTGACCATTAATTTTGAGGGTGTAGGTTTGCGTGTGGATCAAAAGAAGATGTAGATCTTTACCTCTCACTCCACACATATTCCACATTCCACACAGCATATCCGACACATGAACATCGATACTCACAGTCAAAGTTGTATCCGAACATCCTTTAAATCTTGATTCTAAGAGTAGCGTAGATAAATGAACATCAAGGAGAAGTCCTCATTTTCTCCTTGGATCAATGCATTTACCGATAAAGATAATGTGAGGACAGTATTGAAATTCTATCTATCTGTCTTTTTTATGTTGACATCTTCGGAACGTATTTCTAATGTTACTACGTTTGTTTTTGCTTTATACATGGCGTAATGAGAGAAGGACAGTGTCGTATGTTCCAGTGATATAGGTAATTCTTATTTTTCAAAATGTTCTTTAACCTTGCGTTTTAAATGAATATGACGTAATATGTACAGATAATCGGAGCATTAACCATACATGTGAGAGGAAATGAGAAGAAACGAGTGCGAAACCATTGCTCTTGCATTCGATTCATTCTTATTTTGCAGATCTTTGATATTAAAATATTGCATAGTGAAAACGCAAGAGTAACTTAATTATCTAACATTGCGATTGATTATTTTGATGGATGCGTGTAATATTTCGCTCTTACAAAGAACATCATAAGATACTATTTGAACAAAAGAAAAAATTTAAGAAAATTTCAAAGTCTCAAAGGAATACCAAGACAAAATAAACAAATTCTATGGTTCGATTCATTTTCAAATATTAAAACACAAGCGGAGAAGAATGATCGATCTGCATTGGGATGTTTAAAATGAATACAACGATAGAAGTTGTTTATTTTGTCTTCTTGTTTCTTTGGCATTTTCTTAAACTTTCTCTTTTGCTCAAATTATGTCTTATAATGTTCGCTCAAGGAAGAGACATCGTAGTTTTGTACTTCAGCCTGCTTTAAAATATTGTTGATATCAGACTTAAAGAGACTCTATTATTTTTTTGATATCTTGACCCTACTGGCATTTATCGAGAAGCAGTTTTCACTTGCGTTTAGCTACCGACGAGGGTCGTCGAACTGTATTAAATTCATTATTGTCAGCGACTGAACCAAACATTAATAGATACTTCCTTCAAAATAATAGACTCGATCTGAAGAAGCACAGGATAGATTCTTTAACTTCGCATGTGTATTCTGACATGAGGTACCTGTTTTAAACCAACACAAAAGATCAAACTACTTGTTTTTGTTCTAAGAAAAATGGACCAAAACGATCCAAGACATGTCTAGCAATTTGAGAGATCGTTTCTTGGTACAGCTTAATACTACAATCATTATCAATATTTAGATTTTCGACTTATGCTAATCGACTTACAATAATAGTAGAGCAAGAAAAAGCTCTCTTTCTTAATTGATTTGATCTGGAACGGAAAAGACTGTATTTTGATCTTTTGAAAACAGATATTATTATATGCTGGTTCTAACTGACGTAAGTGTGATTCAGGGAAATACTGGAGTGCGGCATTCGCTGTAAAATAAAATGGACATTCTGGGAAGGTAAACTGATGAGAGACATCGGGTAAAAGCTTTCTAAATATACGAAGCAACCTATACCGTCGTCGAGGTATGTTAGCATCGACAGACTCTAGCGATACACTCTTTGTTAGACTTGAGTTAAATACGACACTGGTCTCTGATAGGTATTGCTGTACCTGTTTCTTTCTTTAAACCTACTTAGCTGGCCTTCTGGCACTTGTTAATTCTTAATGCCATGTAGCATTGCCACCAACAACGCATATTCGCTTAGTTGAACCTGAGATACAATGTTGAAATATGAAAATTTCAATACTTCTGAGTATCATAATCTTTATGAAGATGGAAGGACTTTTTTCTTATTCTTTCAGTGAAATGTTGAGAATTCGTACTGTGATCTGTCAATCAGTTGACAATATCGACCGAAGGTAAATAAAATTCATGATGGCAAATGTTATACGATATAACAAGTCGAGTACCTAGATTTTGATATTTAAAAATTAGAGATCAAAATCATACCTAAGCTGAAGCAAGTCTCATCGCGATGAAACGCATGCACCCTTTCTTGTCGAAAGTTGTCAATCTTCCGAAAGAAATATGCATATTGAGCAACCATAAAAATGTTGTCGGATGAAATTTGTTCCTTGATACTTACTTAATAAGTGAAACTTTGTCTATGTAGATATCATCAAAGAAATGTTTTTGACCAAATAAGGAAATTAGGATGATTGAAATAGTCTTTTGAGAAATGTAGATTAAATACAGCTAGTATTTCAGGAGTTCTTAATTTTATTTAGTATCATATGAGCTTTCGACCAACCATGTGGTCATCATCAGATAGCACAATCAAAAGAAAAACATAAACAAAAAACAAAACAAAAACAAAAACACAAACAAAACAATATAAACACAACCATTAGCAAACACAACCAAAAAACCACAACCTCAGAAATTCAATGAAAATCTCCCTTTGCTGCTTATGTGTAAATCAATGACAATCCTCTGTCTATGGGCATATGTAAATAAGTGTGTAAGTAATGCAGATTAAATGCAGCTAGGTTTATGGTTTTCTTTTGGTTGTGCTATCTGATGATGACCACATGATTGGTCGAAAGCTCATATGATGCTAAATAAAATTAAGAACTGCTGAAATACTAGCTGCATTTAATCTTCATTACTTACACACTTATTTACATATGCCCATAGACAGAGGATTGTCTTTTGAGAAGCATAGCAACGGTTGGATAAACTCTCACAGCCGAAAGCAAAGAGAACTGACAACGGATTTTGTTTTTTGCTTGTTCTGGCAATGGTTGTGGAGGATTGGGTCCTTTTATTTTTGCTATTACTGATGTAGAAATGATGGTTTTAGAACTAGACACAAAAGCAGAATAATTGTATTTTTGTTTAGATTTTCAACGTGGTTAAATGATTTGCCGATAGAAGAAGATGAAATTCTTGAACTTAGCATTGCTGCTGCATTTCTTGTTTTAAACGAACAAGTGACACAAGCAGGATACCCAGGATCGTAAGTAGACTATATTTAATGTTCTACTGGGTTTTTTTGAACTTGTCTTTTCGTTTCCAACAAAACCAATGATTCGAAAAAACTTTCTTGGATTCAAACAAAAAATTGATCCCATTTGACATGGTTTTTGATGATGTATTCAGATAACAATAAAACACGATAGAAATAACTGAGCACCATACTAACACGAACAACCACATGTTTTCTCATTTTTTCTGTTATGTCACTCATTTAATCAAGCACAATGCGAAGTGCAGCAAGAGATTTATACCACCCTTGGACGTTTTCAAAGCAAGTCTTCCTTTTACTTGATTGAGAAAATCAGACTCTGACACTATTCAAGAAATATATTCTCTAATGATCATCAAGAATAGATCATCTCGATAATAATACATAGGCTCTTTTATATCAATCAATATAACAAGTTCTTAACAAAGAGAGCTTGTTCCTTGCCTCGTTGTTATTGTGGTTCGACTCGCGCTAATCGAAAATCTAGATATCGGCATGACTTTTATATTAATCTGTACCAAGAAATGATCTCTCAAATTGCTAGACATGTCTTGAGTCGCTTTGATTCATTTTTCTTAGAACATAAGGAAGTAGTATGGCCTTTTGTGCTGGCTTAGATCAGGCATCCCTTGTGACAATACGCATGCAAACTTAAAAAATCTGTCCCATTCTCATTTAGTTCAGGTCGATTGTTTTGAAGAAAGTGCCAGTTAATGGTTGGTTCAATCATTGATCTTATTGAATATAATGCAATTCGACGCCTCTCTTTGGTACCCAGGCGCAACTGAAAACTGCTGCTCAATAAATGAAAATAGTGTCGAGAGATTCAAAAAATTAATGGAGTCTCTATAAGTCTGATGCCGGTAATATTTTAAAGTAGCCTAAACCACCGTAAAGTGCAACGTAGTTTGTTTCCTTAGGATTCCAATTTGTCTGTTATGGTGGTGTGGATATGAGGTGATGATTCACTTTACTGGCTATATACTTCAACACTTCTTTCATTGATTAATCATTAATTA